TCATGTCAGCATGGTTAGCAGATGTTTAATGAGGAAGATAAAGACCACTCGTCCAAACTGACTTATACTTAACTTGTCAGCATCCCCCTTTGCATATGCGAAGAGTTTCCTTTTTACCCTGTTGCTGGCAAACCATTCTGTGTTCATGACTAACATGCATTTCTGAGGAGATAACATCAACTATTTAATGGAACACTGTGTTGAAAAATTTATTCCAGTTCTCATGTCTTATAAAATTGTCTCATTTTTCTTTCTCTTATGGATCTAGCCACCAACTTGCCAACAGTCCGGATGTTAGCTCTCTTGAGTATTGGATGTCCATTCACTACAATACAAAATATAGGATTATGTTAATAATGTCCAGTCAATTCATACAATGGAAATACATTATTTTTTTTTAATCCTAATATATTATACAAAATTATTTTTTGTTGTGCCACAATTTGCCAAAAAAAATGAATTGAGAACATTTCTCTCATTTCTATTGTATGGCCTTTTAGATCTTGTTAACTGACTTTCCAAAGTCGTTGTTGGATGGAAGTGTTGAGAGAAGGTGCTGGAGAGAGGAGCCAATGGTTGAGGGCATTGCTGCTCTTCCAGAGGATCTCAATTCATTTCCCAGCACCAAAGTCAGGTGACTCACCATGGGTGGTAACTCCAGCTCCCAGAAAACTACAACCTTCCTCTGGCCTTTCTAGGGACTCTCACACATGTGACATATACTCACACATATAGACATAAACATAAATAAAATTAAATCTTTTAATAAGAGTTGAGAAAAATATTATCAGGAAATAAATTTCATTGATATATAGAATGCTTAAAATAAATGAGATATAGTTTGCTCAATCACAAGAACAAACATATTAAAACTGAGAGTATAATATTAATGCAGATACTTAAAATAAGTCACTAATATTATTGTGCCTATATTTGGCTCATGTTTATCTCAACAATCTTTCTGAAAATTATGAATCAAATATTTACCAAAGTCACCATTATACATAGCAACAATTCACAGATAGGCTTATATAGCCTAGTAACTCAGGTACTATAGTTATTTTTAAACAAATACACAAACAACTGCCAAAAAACTATTAGTTTTGAGGACATTTTATGTTACATATAGTCTATGAACAACTTGCCATATTGCTGTGTTCATGTAGACTTGCACGGACATTAGCCAAAGGCCATGCCTTACACAAGCAAAACTAAATTAAACAGTGACAGCAAGGTATCTGAACAAGTATAGTTGTAACAATAGACAGGTAGACCACAGGCATATGGAAAGAGAGTCAGTGTCATTGATCATCAGAGATGAGCAGCAAGGATATAGGTTCATCCTTCATGTAGAAAAAGTACCAAAAAGCCTAAAAAGACTAAAATATGTAAATGCTGGTGAGGATGTGGATAAGGGAGAGTTTGAAGCCACTGTGCAAAATAGAACCATGGTTCTTAAAGATACTAAAAACAAAACTATCTACCTTAGGATGCAACAATCCCTCTTCTATGTACACAACCAATATTGTGCACATTACCAGAGAATGGAATTTACCACATTATTAGAAGGATATCTGCAGCTTCATATTCACGCACTGCAGTAGTATTAATAATGGTAACATAGAAGCACAGGTGTCTAACCAGCATACAGTGAAAGTCTATATATCAAAATGTTAAATCTTTGACAAGGAGACCCTGATATTTGTCACATAGTACTATAACAAATAAGCCAGAAATTGGAGGACATTGTACTACATAAAATAATCTTAATTATGTTTAGATTTTTAAAACTTCAAATATAGAAAATTAGAAAGTAAGTCTGGACCCAAGGAGTGTGAGCATGGGGAGTAGGAGGGTACAGCCCACTGATTAAGAACAGCAGAGATGAAGGATGAAGACGTGCAGGGAGATAATGTACAGCATGAGAGCACTAATTAATAAAATTGCACCACACATGGGATTTCTCCCAAATGAATAGATTTTAGCTGCTTTTGTCAAAAACAAAAAGCAAGTGAAAAATGGGTCAGTCTGTGAGATGATGGGCATATTAATTTGCTTGGCCATTGTTACCATTTTATTGTGCACATATATCCCACAAAATTATGTTGTGTACCTTAAACATGCATAACAAAATCTATTCCAAAAATACACAAGTTAGAATACATCAGGATAGCCTATAAAATAGTAAGGCGTAGTGACTACTCCCCCTGTGGTTATGAGAAAACAACTATACCCATTACAATCCTGATCTCATACACTTACCTGAAAGGGGAATATATTGTAGATGCAAGCTTAATTATAAAATATTCCCTATTTGAACTTTTAACAATGTACAATATCAAATACACATCTCACCATGTGGACAAGGGACATTGTATTTCTCACTTGATATTTCTATAAATGAAACAATGTCTATAGAATCTATTAATGCAAAAGAAAATATGACTCACATTTAGCAAATATTCCAAATAGAATTTAAAGATTATTGTCTATACTATGGTATTATAATATAGACTTTTAAATGAAGTTTCACTAACAGTTGGCTAATAGGCTGTTCATAAACATTTAAATTAAATAGAGCACCATTTCCCTGTAGTAAATATACAAATATAAATATACTTGACATAGTTTTAATCTTTCAAAGTAAATATTCTTGACCTTCATCATATGGCAGAAGAGATTCACAAAATAATCTTTTTTATTAAAAACAGTCAAATTCTGAATAAAATGTTAAGTGAATTTTAATTTTGTTGCTAAGTTGCCAGATAGGGAAGACAGTGAAGCCAAAACCAAAGTGAAATCAATAGCATCAGAAGGTGTTTGATAGGTAAGGCCAGCATTTCAGCTCAGAGTTCTCTGGGAAACTCTGGGTATCTGAATTATGGTATATGAGGGGACTGTGGACAGGAGGTTGCATGCAGGTCCCACCTTTGAGACCACTACAGAGGGAACACCTTCGAAGATCCTATCATCTTATAAAAAAGGGAAGAGGAAGGATAAGATGGGAAGAGGAGGCTGAGAAAAATGAGGAAAGAAAGGAAAAGAAAACTTCAAAACCAGGAGACAACAGGAAGCCATCTGTTTCTGATTATATAAACAAACAGACCCAACCTCCAAAGCTAAACCCTGACTGCATATCTCAACCCATGTCTCTTGTGTGGCCTGCAAATGCCTCAAATTTAAAATCTGTTTTGCTCTACGAAGAAATGAAGAAAACAATTTCAACCAAGATCACTGAAATATTATGCCATTGAGCATAATTCATGAAGTTCCAGATGCATCACTCTATTTTCAAAGAAGAAAGAAGGTAACATGGCAGTTTCTACAACACAGCATCAATTTTTAAAAAGTCATACACATGACAAAGTGTGAAATAGTAACATCAAAATAAACTGTATAATAAGAACTTAGCTTTATATTTTTCGTAGTATGAATAGTTTCACTAAAATTATTATGTGGGAAGACAAATACTAGATAATTTTAAGTTTCTAGACTAGACCATACAACAAACATTTCAAATAATTAAGAAATAGTTAGAAATCAGATATTATGTTTATACTTTAATAAATTAAAAGATTGCAAGTTGTAAAATATTTAGATAGGATAGCTAGTATTTCAGTGTGTATTATTTTAAGCTGTATTGTTTAGAAGTGTAATATTTCATTTTCTTTCTCAGTAATTAAAAGTTATTCTGCCTTCTGTTTTCTTTTTAACTATCTACAAATTAGACATTAACAAATCTATCTTCATCATGCAATATCCCTGACCTGTCGAAGGATGCATATTATTCTACAGCATTGACTACTTGATTTTACAACTTTATAAATCTTTATTGAGTGACTTGGAAAGAAGAAAAAACAGCTTGTGTTCTAAAAAACACATGTGTAGGTTAAGGACTATCTATTGGGTCTGAGTTTTCAAAGTTCATGTAAAATATTATCTGGGGTCATTGTAGATCTTGATTTATTTCTGAGAACAAAGACAATTAGAAAGTAAACAATTACAATCATGCTTTTCCATGACTTAGCAAAAACAAATGAAATAGTCCATAATGTAGCAATTTGGTCTGTCCCATTAGAAGATAATCAAGGCAATACATAACAAAATAAATATCTAGGACATAAAGATGTATTTAAATAATTATGTTAGATTTTTTTAAATTAGCAAATGGTGAGATTTTAATTAAGTTGTATTTACCATTGGATTTCAGAAAAACAGGCACTCTGAGCAATGATGGAGCAGATTGTCAAGAGCTATAACTGCAAAATATCAGGAAAGCTCTTTGGGTAGAAAAATACACTCAATAGAGAATAGTGATCTGAGTGGTCCATATCTAGTTATACATAAAGGTACTTGGTAGTTGACTCTTAAGCACTCTAGATGGTTTCTCTGTATTTTGGGTTCTGTATTCCCTTAGTCATCTTCTTCTCATCCCATGCAAAGGGAGATCTTGAACACTGCATTATGAGAGAAAGGCTTTGGTGGGAAAATGAAAAGAAGCAAAAGACTATTCTCTTACATGATATCAGAAGAGACAAACACATCAGTGATCCAAATGAAATGACAGTGGTATAAAGGCAGAAAAAGGGTTTCTTCCTTCACTGGGTTGGATTTAGTCCATGTGACTCACCAGATCATGACCTTAGTGGGTGAAAGTGGCAACAGAGGCACCAACAAAGTACCGAGAACTTGGGAGTTCTGTGTTGCAGTCTACAGAGCATTCATGAGCAAATGTGAACTGAGATGTCTAAGAGAATCCACAACAATCACTGTGGTTATGCGGATGGCTTCTGGCAGACCATACACATGCTCCTGCATACATACATTCACTTGAAGATATGTGTGTTAATGTGGTTGTATGATATTGTAAAATATTGAAACGTCATCTCTCACTTATCATTGCCTCCAGTTCCTGATGCTGCTACTTAGGAGACAACAGTGGCTTCCTAAGGATGACTGAATAGAAATCACCTCATTTCTGATGTTTACCAAGCTTAACAAAGACAAATCAGTAGCAGCTAATAAATACTTTCATCTTGAGGTTTTAAATGTGCAAAATTGAAAAAAAAACATATAGGCACTTATTAAACTTTAATTCATCTTTTGAAAAAGGGTGAATACTTCTCATACACACACTTCCTTCAAGGAGAAAAATCCAAGAACAAAGATACCTGCATTTGAAGAACAAAGTTATAAAATATATAGAAAAAAACTTATAAAAGTAACTTTGCACTTGGAAGGGTATAGCTTCCTGCATTGTGAGTAGCATTTAGGTCTCTAGGAAGTGAGAGTCTGGAGGACTTGGCACATGGGCCATATGGTGAG